GATGTTTTTGGCCAGACTGTAATGTTCCAGTCAACGCACCCCGAGTCGCATGTACCAGCGTCAGTATTTCGGTTAAGACGAAAAAGAAGTTGAAATTCAATAACAATGTCTATTTGCATTTATTGGAGTGGGCTTTTCTCGTGTAGCACAATTTGGAGTATAATTGCCATTTATTAATAAAGTATGTCGGTTTCCAATAGCGATATTACGCAAGAATGAATAAAATGTGGTTTACCATCTTACGTTTATGCACCGAACGGGCTTTACGTTTATGCATCGAACGGGCTATAAGGCCTATGATATTATGCAAATTATACACGTTAAAGGGGGCATGTCTTAAACTCAATATCATCAACAGTCTTTGATTGCAAACAGGACTTATTGGTCAATTTAAATCAACTCTGATGTTGTTATCTTACCGTGAAACGATGGACTTCTGATATCCAATATTTAAGATAAAATAAAGAATTTAAAATTGGCACACGAATCGCGTGCCAGAATGCTTTCGAGCGCCATTTGTAATAAAGCGACTCGATGACCGAGGTTAAACATATCCCATAGGAGAATACTATACCTGTGTAGACTGGAATAACCAGACGCCAAATACTGCCATTCATTTTGGACGCTTCGCGTATTTCGCCAAACACAATCACAGATAAGAAATTACAGTAAAAACTGAAATGATTGAATCTAAATCAGTTTATATACATTCATATTACATTATTATATGCGTTGCTACCCATTTGTGTCAATTTCTAGGTATCAAACAATTAGCTCCGACAAGAATAACATATTTTATATTAAGCGACACAAACTAGGACATTTCGGGACTAATAAATGCTACAATTTTATTTCAATAATTAGCTTGTGAGTAGGGGTCTTGTGAAGTGAAGGGGGGGGGGGCGGAGAAGACTCACAAAGTTTGGCAGACAACATTATGCCTTGTCACCAGGGCTCACGCTGTCGGTCGCCAAAGTCGCGATTAAATTTTGATTTTGGCAAGTTGTCACGTACAAGAATTTGATCGAAATCACACCACTTGACTTAATGACAGACATGACAGACTCTACCTCCCAACCCCACATTAAAGTAAGCACCCTTTACAAAATTCCTGTAAACTTTATTCAGTTTATTTCAACAAGGTGCCCTTCCCAACTTATCATCTTTTAAAATTACCAGGAATTTCAACTATCTTAAACCATGCAAAATAGTGCACAACATGTCATGTGACGACAGACCGAATTAATATCAGTTTTTAACAAGAGCAGAAGAGAGTCATGAAGATCATCCATAAAAATACTGATAACCGCGCCTATTTTTAATGAACTTCCACACTTTAAGCCCCGAATGACATGTTGTTAAATTGATAGCACTGACAGACTGATAATTTGCTCGATCATCAAGTCAATGTACCGTTAAACGAACGGTCTGGGTGATCTAATTAAGACAGTGAATCTACTAGACAGTAAATGTTTGATATTGTTTAGATTAAATGCAGGCAAGATTAAAACATTAATTTTATCAGCCGTCGGATTCTTTCGTCGTGGAATCTTGCACGTATCAGAGGCGTTTCTATGTCAGAAGTTATAACACATATCTGCTGTTATCCATTGGTATTTGGTCTTTTATTCCTATAAGATTTATCGGATCAAAACACTACATTGGGTGTGTAAGAAACCTTTGTTGTACTTCTATCAACAAAATTTAAAACTTGACGTGTTATTTCTCTTGAAAGTTCTTCAAATTAATCGGCAACATCTAATTACGGCTAATCTTTCTTGCAGAAAACCATTTTCGATTGATATTCCTCTTGCTGTTAAAGACGAATCTTTTGAAAATGGTGCGCAAACCCGATTTGGCTGGTCACGTTGCTCTTTTCAGATTACAAAATAAAATCTTGAAAAGGCATTTAGTGAAAACATTATGTTATACAGAAAACTTTATGGATAGCATTCACTATTCCCATCGTTACCAAGCAAGGCTATCCATAAAGTTGTCTGTATTGTAAGACACTGGATCGCTAGCTTGGCGGTCACGGGTTCGATACTGGTGTTGGTTGCGAAAGTTCATCGTGATCTTCCGGTGTGGTTTCCCCTTGTCAAGGAAAACTGTCTAGTTGTTCGGATGGGACGAAAAACCGATGTCCCGTGTATACATTGGTGTGCACGTAAAAGATCCCTTGGCAGTTGGAATTCGATATAAGAGTAGGCAGAACAGTGGGATATTAAACTCCAATTCATTTAATTTGTATTGTACAGAATAAAAGACATTAACTCAGTTATTTGGGTAGATTTTCATAAACAGTAAACATACTAATGATAAGTTAAAAGATTACAGTTACAAATACAACAGTCAACGGGGATCACGGTGACTAAGTGGGTAAGACGCTGGCTCGCTAGCCTTGAGGTCGGGTGTTCGATCCCTGCATTGGCCGAGAAAGTTCATCCAGATTTTTCGGCGTGGTTTCGCCTTGTCAGTGACACAGGAAGGAGGGTCTGACAAGGACAGCTGTCTAGTCGTTCGGATGGGACGAAAAACCGAGGTCGCGTGTACACATTGGCGTGCACGTAAAAGGTCCCTTGGCAGATGGAATTCGATATAAGAGTAGGCCATAGTCCGGGCAAAATTTCCCCCATAGCACACTGTATGGCGTATGCCCGTCATCATTAGCCCAGTTTAGGAGCAGAACAGTAGGACGTTAAACCCCATTTCATTTCATTTTCACAACAGTCCACAACCAATCGAAGGTGGATACTATAAATACAGATTCCAGTATATTAAAATAACTCTTTAATATAAAGAAAATGATGTTTATTTTTAATTGAAGCAATTAATAGATCCTCGGCCGTTATAAAATATTTATACAAAACGGGGAACCAATTAGATAAAAAACGATACCGGTTAAATTCAGTCCCATTTCCAAGCAAACCATGGCACCGGAAGATTCGACATTTCTACAGACTGAAATTCTAAAATAAATCTTTACTCATCGGGAAAACAATATGTTGTTAAATGTCTAATCCAACATTTTTAAATTGAATACTGTCGCGGTTGTATACTGTGTTTTATATACATGTATTTTTAAAGTAGCTAAGTCTCTAACTCAATATCATCCAAAGTCTTCGACATTGAAAACACAAATTATTTGTCAATTTAAATCAACATTGATGTTGTAATCTTACCGGGAAAAGATGGGCTTCTGATATCCGATATTTAAGACAAAATAAACATTTGACCATTGGTAACTTAATGCGTTTTAGCACCATTTGTAACAAGGGACTCGAAGAACGAGGCTAGACATATTCCACAAGTCATGTTAAACGGTGACCCATATTCTTATCTGGAGAGCATGTTCAATAAATACTATCGGTGTAGACTGGAATAACCAGACGCTAGAGATTGCCATCCGATTGAGACTTCTGACGTATTTCGCGGAATACAACTGATTTGAAATAAGAGTAAAAATGGAAACGACTGTATGTAAATCAGTTTATATACATTCATATTACATTATTATATGCGTTGCGACCCATTTGTGTCAATTTCTAGGTCCCAAATATTAGCGATTTAGCTCCTTTAATGTCCCCGTTTTATTCTTAATCCGATACAATCAAATAAGAAGAACTGATATTATTTAAAGCAAACGGAGGGGGGGGGGCTGTCTGTGCAGGGTTATCATTGCCCTCCGACATGTTCAGGTCACGTGATCTTATTGGCCAATGTCTGTATTGGCAAACGGGGCTTCGTTTTGTGGTTGTGGTAATTTTAAAACGAAAACATGATTATAGTTTAACTGGTTGATTTTCTGATTGTGGAAATTTTAAAACCCAAACCTGGTTCTGGCGGGTTTCCTGTTACAGTGTAGCTGGTTGATATACGATATATTTGACTACGATGTAGAGTAAAAAAAAACGACTCGAATTTCTAATCTAATTTTGATTAGATTGATATTAAACAAGAAGCCAATTGGTTTCCGGTTAGAGTTTAGCTGGTTGAAATATGATATATTCGACTCCAATGTAGAGTAAAAATAGAACAAATAACGAATCGAATTTCTAATCTAATTTTAATCAGATTAATATTAAACAAGCAGCCAATTGGTGGGAATATGAATCCCATTTTATCGGTACTGTTGTGACGCCTTTTTTCTGTTTTGTATTGTTTTGCAGTTGTTCAGTAATAGAGGCACGAACATAACTGTATGTGCCCAACAAACAGTATATCAATACAGCACATACATTAAAAAATGTTAACGGGAATGACAAAAAATAAACAAATAAAAAACAAAAACCAATCACTACATGGACCTGTGACAGGACAACCTCTCTCTCACACCTGACCCAATAAGCAATTGAAATCTGATCGTCCTGAAATAGTAGATATACCCTGCCTCGTGCACGAACTCGTAATATAGTATTGCAAGATCTTGTAGCCAGGACGACCGTCGGGAGTTGGACTAAATACGTCAAATTACATTACTGTATATCTTCACTTTAAATAGCAATAGCCAATCGTTTGATAGGATTTCCTTCTCTCCGTTGACCAATATTTCGTCGATTTGTTACCTGTCTAAGGAGTAGGATAAATGAGACTTTTTTTGCCCCCTGATTTAATTACTCATTTGCTTGCATGTCAATTAGGAACCATTAAAAAAGTTGAAGCGAAGTAAGCGACTGCTTTATCGGCCGGCTTTATCGATTGAGAAGTTAAAATGAAAGAAAGAATGATAAACGACGAATGGGGTTAAACGGTAATAAATGACTCTTTTTCTTCTCCTGAATTTTACACATATTTAATGATAGGCTTCGCCGTGGATTCAATAGATTTAATGCATTGACGGCTCAAAACGAAAGCTGCCTTTTTCCTCATCCATTGTAGCCGTACAGTTTGTCGACATTCAAAACTCATTAAAGCCGATCAGCTCGAATTGTAATTTAGCCTAACATTTTGTGATTTATGTCTTTATTCGGGGTAAAACTCGCTTTCTTCTTAAAGAAATCTTAGTTGGTGGGCCTCACATAGTAAATATAAGAGCGATCATTCTGTAGCTTGTGATATAAAAGACAATTTAAGGATATATTCAGAAAAGTCATGTATTGGTGGTTTTTATTTGTGTTTCTATGTATGTATAACAAAGATATTGGGAAAATTTACCAGACTATTTCGTGGATTTCAAGGTTGGGAAAATTAGAATTTTATTCAAAATGGCAGGTGGTGTTGTATCACATGAGAAGGTTAGTCTTGGGTTTTTATATGATTATGTTATCATCTCCACCAAGCCATGTATCTATAATCGATAAACAAATCCGTGGGTTAATTTATGCCAATTTTTGGTAGTTAAAATAAAACAAATGTTCGTGGTACATGCAACAGCTCGTAAACATATTGCCTTTTGTAGCTTCGTTTAGTATTGGGTTAATATATACAAATGTTCTTATTATTGTGGCTATACTTTGCTACACGAAACGAATGAATGACGTGGTATCTTTTGTGGTTGAGAACGTACATTTGAGAATTAAATGGAGCGAAACGTCTCCACAACAACCATTTTAAGACCGGCATATCGTTATTTTATTTGCTATTGCTATCTGTGCAATGTCGGGGTGAGAGAGTAGGGACATTCTCCGTCTAAGCTCCATCGATGTTCATCTATGAATTGATCTCTCACGTGCACTACGAATGTTTAAATGGCAACTTTTTACCCGTCCAAACGTGACACCACGTGGAAACCAGGCACGAAACCTTCACACTGGGATTCAATCACGTTACAGACTACGGTCACGAGTAAAGTTTGATAACCTCCATATTGTTGGGAATCTATATGCCGCAAGTAATGACACGACTGGCGTGATAATGGTTTAAATAAGTCTATATATGACTAGAGTTTTCTAGTTTTAATTGCAACAACTACAATCCAGTTTGGCTAGATTCCCTCTGCATGTGACTTGAGTAAAACTGGATCAGTTCATACCTATTTGTTAGACTATACACCATATCTACCCCAATCGAATAATTGGGGTCGCGTATTGAACAACACTCTATCAGTCTGACACATCTCTGAGTTTTATTTACGTTAGAGAAAAGAAAGAATCTACAGGAGAAGATTCCCGCTTTTTGACTTTACTAATACATGAACAAACAAATATGTCTTCTCGGATATATAATATTATCAGGGGAATTGATATAAACTATCGCCAACGGTGAGGATTATTTTGATTAACATCCAGTAAATGAAGAAAGCTAATTAAGGCTAATCATTAATTATGTTGATGACGTCAATTAATTACTCTCTGATACGATCTGACTAGAAGTGACAGAAAAAGTTGGCGAAGTAGACTTAATGCTCATAAGTTTTGAGGAAAGGGTTTTACTTCTAGAATTCATCTGGTCTTAGCTGTATTTAATCGATCAACATGTAGCTTGCCGCTAATTATTGTTAAACAAAAATAAGTAATGCAAAGTGTTTTGTAGATAATAATTTAAAAGATTATCCCAAAAATTAATGATCAATTCAGTAGATTAAGCTAAATAACCCAAAATAGTGTAGACTTTAATCGTCCATAACTTCGGTTGGGTATGATCGAATTTCATATTTACTGTTTTATGTGGATTGTATAAATGGTGTTTATTTCGGACTGTTGTCATTTTCATTGTTAAAATGTCGACCCGGACGAAACTACAAAGGGAGGCGAGGCTGTATTCTTATTAAGATATGCAAATAACCTTTCATTACGTCTCCGATTTAAGTAGTACACAACTGATCGGATATCACTAACTGGAGTTATTCGATTTATAAATATAAATAATGTCTTGTGAATCCAGATAAATCAAATCGTTCCAAATAAGTAGGAACAATTTTGGGTGCTGGGCGGGGGGAGGGGGTGATTTTTAGGATCAGAATTATTCTTATCAAAGTTATAAACCTGACCAAGATCACTGATACTAAAATGTATCTGAAATATTTAAATAAAACAGTTGTTCAAAAGTTGAAGAGCTCAAAACAAAATCTGCAGTTATCTCCCCTGTATGGTTTATGTCGAATATTTCAGCATTTTGGGGTTGATGGACGAGATCCGATTTATGAAAAGATTTTTTGGGGGGATAACGGTTTAAGATATTGACATAATCCACCTCCGAACAATTATAACTCTTGGATAGGGAAGGAGTGGTTGAAAAAAAAAGAATTACTACGTCGTGTGTGACAAAAACGAATGCAATGTGCGTGATAGTTACATTCACAAAACAAAATACGCAATAATAATGCTTATTTCAAAATAAATACAAGGATATTCCCTAGGTCCACACAGGTCGTGATGCATGTATGGCAAATAAAAATTGAATGGCAAATAAATAGAAATAGAATGTTATACAATTTGACATATGTACACAGGGGATTTATAATAAATGGAGCTGAAAACAATAGATTCATCAAAACTCCCTCCAACAAAAATATTTGTCACCATGCTACAGTTTATAAAATGTTTATTTTGGATGTGATTAGTAAGTCATCAATGTTATTGCCGTGATCGAAGCAATCCTAGTATTCGTTTATTTGTACTTAGCCACCGTACACGACTTCTTATTATCATTAGCGCTAGATAAATAATTCTGAAGTGACTTGTTTTGGAATTCCATGACAAATGAAGAAAAAAGAAGCCATCCATCACTCTCAGATGCTGAAATTTTGCAGAGAAAACAATTTGTATTTGGAATTAAAGTAGAATGGTCAATTTCCTGCGCTTGGCCTCTGACACGTACAGATTAGAGTCATAAATCTTAACTGACCACTGGGTATTGTATTTTACTAGTGGTCATCTGGGCTGACAGATGAAAGAGTGAAAGTGACTAGTCTTTGAACACATGGACGTTTACACTTCCAAGACTTCTAGTACAAATTCATCTCTGATTTTATCTCCTGTCGTTTGATCTCGTATTAAAGAAAGTTTGATTGAATTATTATCTTCTCCAGTTGAATAATCATCTCTTAGATTACCATATGGTTTTAAGGAATTCTAAATTTCATTCAATTTGTATCCATCCTCTTAGACAACCATATGGTTTTAAGGAATTCTGATTATTTTAATCAATTTTATCCATCCTCTTTTAGTAATCCCAAATTTTATTAAAATTGTGCCATCCTCTAAGATTTCCATATTATGATGTTAAGGAATTCTAAATTTTATTAAATTTGTATCTTATGGTGTTAAGGAATTCTAAATTTTATTAAACAATCATCTTTTACATTACCATATAGTTTTGAGGAATACCGAATGTGTATCCATCCCAGTTTACCATATGGTTTTAAGGAATTTAAAAATTTATTTAATTAGTATCTTTGATTACCGTAGTTTTAAGGAATTACAAATTTGATTAAATTTGCATTGATTTGTATCCATCCTCTTACATTACCGTACAGTTTAAAGAGTCTAAATTTATAGTATAGTTTTAAAAAAGTCTAAATTTTATTGGATTTGTATCCATCCTCTCAGATTACAGTATTGTTTAAAGAGCGTCTAAATTTTATTAAATTTTTATCCATCCTCTTTGATTACAATATACATGGTTTTAAGGATTTCTTAAGTTTGTTGAATTCATATCCTTGCTCTTAAAAAAAAGATAAAACATGCACCATTTTATTAAAGTCACAATATGGCTGATGTCAAAACAAATGTACTGTTTTGCTACAAACAAAAGAGTACAGCCTGCATGACTGTCTTAGCTACTTTTATTAAAGATTTCATTCTCACGAGTAAAAATAATCATATTCAAAATATCCTTACACTCACCTGACTGTCCAAATTCTAAGCACTATCTTATTGAGAGTAGGAAATTTGTCAGGAGGGATGGTTATGTTTTGTTTTTTTTTAAATTACTAAACAATTTGTACACCTCGTATATTGAAATTAAAACCTGGCATATATCAATTATGGTTTTGCAAGTTTGTCTCGAAACATGCATACAATCTAATTGAGGCATGCCCAATGTAACCGTATACATCATCATTTGTTGTTTTATTTATTTTTTTTACCAACGATGGCCATCCCCAATTCGCTTAAATATGCCTCTAGAAGTAAAGACCTGTACAAACACAATGGCCTGGCCTATGGAGAAAGGATTTAAACAGAATTAAATAATTAAAGTTAGCATTGAGATAATGAGAGAAAATATGGCGAATTCAAAATGGCTATAATTTAAGTCTGTATTTATGAATTTAAATAACGCGAGGTTTAATATGATTTTAGTAAAGCGAAGTAAAATTTTGATTGAGTATGGTAATTCACTCTGTTTTCGAAGTCTAGTCTTTTGAGGCTGTAACTGAAGAAACTTTTATCTGAGAATACAAAAGTCACTTGCCTAGTTAGTTAAATAAAACAATACATCAAAAATATAAAAACAATATATATTCAGGTGTTCTAGGAAGTAAATAAATTCACTCTTGGGCACGATACCCGTCACTATAGCCAAGTTTAGAAACAGAAGGTACGTGGTAATCGGTAAACATGGGGTAAATGCTAACAGCTTGGATGTTTAAAGACTTTCTTTCAGATTGGGTTCCAACTGATTTTCTACTTTCCTACTGGAAATGAGATAGATTAGGTATCTTGTGTGAGTGGGGTGGTAAGAGAGGTTATGTTCCTACTGTCCTTGGTACTTAAAAGGGTTGTGTTTCTCCTTGGCAAGGAAGACTGGATACCTATAAATGATTAGTACTGAAATATATTGGGTTCTTACGGTCATTCGTTTTGCTAGGGGCACTAAATGCTGTTCTTAGTATTTAAATATATTGGGTTTGTCCTGATATGACTGTTTTAAATCTTACGAAGGTGGTAAAGGGGACTGGTACCTACAGTGATTAGTATGACAAGGGAAACTGGATTACTACTGCCATTGGTAAGATATAGGGAGACTAAGTTTCTACTCTCCTGGGTATAGCAAGGGAGACTGGGTTACTTGAGTTACTGGTATGAGATGGGAGACTGGGTAGTTGTTATTGGTACGGGAGATTTATTTTTAAAGTAATGGAGGTTGGGTAGCTAATATAGGTGACAATAACACAGCTTACATTATATATACATTACCAATTTCAAATGTGCCATAACTTTCAATAACGTAACGAAAATAAAAACGAGAGAACTGAATATAACCACATCGCAAACATTTGTTTTCATCGGTGTAACATGGGGGGATGAACTTAACTTTCCTGCGAACAGTTCCACATAGCAATAGCAATGTT